TATTTAAATAATGTAATCAAGTACATGTAATGTCAGATTCTACCTAGTACATATATGTAGGTAATCTAGATTGGGAAAAAACATGATTGTTTTATTTCACAAAATAAAACTCATAATGCTAAAAGTTTTCAGAATGTGTCATTGAGTGTTTCGTAAATGTTACAGGTTTTATTGTGAAATTTAAAACTCAATTGATACAGAATCACTGTAATAAATTTTAGCTTGTGAAATTAAAACAATTTAATTTAAAGTACTTTAAAGTACCAGTTAAATTCTGTTTTAAAAAATGTGTATAAAGACGACAAAAGTCACATTTTGTCTATCTTTCTGAGATACCTCTAATACATTTATTTGTAGACCTCCAGGCCACCATGCGATGTACAATGAGTTTAATGGTTACTGCCTGTTAAACAACGTAGCTATAGCTGCCAAGAGAGCCCTCGATGTCCATGGACTGGAAAGGTCGGTATTTTCACGGGAAAAATCCATATTTAGGGGATTTTTTTAAATTTGAGTACTTTCTATTGATGTCTGCAAGTCCAGACTAGTATAGATGTGTTTCCCTTTCAAACTTTATATTGCACTAGTCTGAACAAATTTTGAATATCCAGATGAAAACTTTGAATTTTTGGTCTTTTATTGCATTAATAAGCTTATTGAAAAGATACCATTTATCAATTAACATTTTCTGAATCATGATTTAACCTCCAAAAATAGAGAAAATTATCAAACTTGAAATTATACCTATACATTTTTTTTATCATCATTGATATAGAATTATTTTTTAGCAACATTCTTATTGTACAATATTTGTGATTTCAGGGTTCTGATTTTGGACTGGGATGTTCACCACGGTCAGGGTATACAGTACTTCTTCTACAATGATCCCAGGTAAGTCAGGAAAAAAGCATGACAGTAAATGGAATGTTTATTAGCTTTGTGGAGTAAATACAGGGGTTTTCCTACCATTTTTAAACTGGGTCCGGGGTCCGTACAATTGGGAAAATTGACGCGAAAACTGTTCAAATTGGGAAAATTTTAAAAAGGACCAATTTTGTTATTTCCCCAAATCAATAAAAATGAAGGGACCAAAAAGGGTCTGTATTACAATAGAGTTAAGAACTGTAGACAGATATAAAGAGTCGCACATTATTCAGCTGTTGTTGGATGATAAAAAAAATGCCAAAAAAATTGCTATATATTATATATTTTGACTTATGTAAAAGAAAAATATTTAAATGGCCATAATATTTTTTATTTGGATAATGAAAATTTCCAGAAAAAAAAAATTATTTAGTTTTATTGATTCATGACTGAAGTTAAAAAAAAAAAGTTTAAGTGGATAAAGGTGATTTCGGATTTTTTTTGTTATTATATATCCCATTTGTGACTAAGAATAAGTGAACATAATTTTTTCGTGTATATTAAAAAAAAATGCAGGAAAACACTGTTTAGTTTTACTTTACATTCATGACTGGAGTAGAAGATTTATAAATTAAAAAAAAAATATTTGGAAATAAAGTTTTGGAAATTAATTGTTATCTATATTGATTTTACTTTGTAGTAACATTAATTATAACATATAAATGAAAATAAATCTTTGAATAGGCCAATGTTGGAAGATAGAAAAGTAGGATGACAGGTTTTTTGCGTTTAGGCAAATTAGTCAAACCCTTTCTATTTTTAGATCATGCAAGGAAGTGCACAGTAACTTTTGTGTAAGATCACTGACAACTTTCATGATAGGTGCAATCCTTTTATGATCATTATAGGGTGACTTGAATGAAACAAGCCATGTAAATTGTAATAATAACTAGTCAATAAACATCGTAGGTGATTTACCAAATGTGTTGCATCACTTAAATATACGATCACATGTTGACACCTGTAGAGATTTTCAGACGTTTTGCAGGGAAGCATTAAGCAAAATTAATATCTTACTTCGTTCTGAACTCTCTTAAATTTTTGTCAAGGATACAAAATTGGGAAAAAAAGAATCAGAATTGGGAAAATATGGCTGATTTTTTGATTGGGAATGGGTCCGGTAAACGGACCCAAAAACAAGCCAGGAAACCCCTGAAATATTTAGTTTTTCTTAGGAATTTTTTTGCACTAATTAGGGCCCCGCAAGGATTTGCGGGGGCCCTATAGTAATCACTCTGTCCGTCCGTCTGTCCGTCTGTCTGTCTAGCTGTCTGTCTGTCTGTCACTCTTCCGTCCACAAATTTTCTGTTTTTTTCTAATAACTTTTTTTATGGTTGCCCAATCAAGTTCAAATTTGGTATGGTAGTTCAGTGGGCAGAAATACATATTTTGATGCTAAGTTTGTTTCCCTATGTCCCCTGGTTTGGAGCTGGGGTGGTGGGGTAGATTCCTTAACTATGCATAAGAATGAATGGGCAACTTTTTTTATGGTTGCCCAATCAAGTACAAATTTGGTATGGTTGTTCAGTAGGCAGAAATACATATTTTGATGCTAAGTTTGGTTCTCTATGTCCCCTGGTTTGGAGCTAGGGTGGTGGGGTAGATTCCTTAACTTTATACACGAAAGCATTGGCAAAGAGAGATAACTGCTGAAGATGTTCTCATTGTAAACTGAATGCTGCTATGAGTCCCTTGGGATTAATTAGCTTTCCTCCTGAAGAAAATCCAGAGCATTATCTTTATCTGTCAAATTGAGATGAATTACCACCTCTGTCTGCAAATGAAGTTTGTTTTGAAGTTAAGTCAATTTGGAATGCTATGAACACTCTGAAATGTGGATTTAAATATAAATTTTTATAATTTATTTTTGTTTAATAGTTATGATGTCATTGAATTCTAATAACAAGAAATAGATTAAAGAAAATTTTTTGATTTACTTTTTTCACTTTATGTTAATTCAAGAATATTATTAATTTTTAGAATAGTTGTATAAAAACCCCATTCTATCATTATACTGAAAAAGTTCTTATTGTAGCTTAAGAAGAAAATGATGAGAGAGGTACAATTAATCCCTTGGGATTAATTATCTAGCCTGCTGCAGAAAATTTAGTAGGCTTTTCTTTATCTGTCACTTTAAGATTAATGAAAACCTTTGTCTGCAACTGCTGTTTGTTTGAAGTTAAGGTCAAGCCTTCATGATATTTGCATTCATTGAAGGCTGGCATTTTATATGACACAAGCTTCATAATTTTTTAAATATACATTCAATGTTAAGTTGTTCTTTACTGCCTAATGTAAATACAAGGATATTATTTTCAGGTTTTTGAATATTCAGGAATTATCTTGAAATTTTAAGAATACAGTTGCTGTTGCTTATTCTTCGTACATTTTCTAATCATTCCGTAAGCTGCACCCTATTAATTCTACCCCATGGCGGGGCCCTTGCTGACTGGTCAGATTTCTAGTTAACAACTGAAGTCATATGCAAGGATAACCCATGTTTTATGTTTTTAATTATAATGGTTTGCTATATGTATACTGAATTACTTCACATAATTTAAATGTTGGTCATTTTGTAGGATGAACCAAGCATTTTATTTCTAGATTACCATGGAGGTTTACATGTACATGCAGAATTTTGAAGTGTTATTTAAGCCTACCCTTCTGTTTCAGAGTATTGTACTTTTCAATACACAAATACTTAGATGGTGAGGAATGGCCCTATCTTAGAGAATCAGATTACGACCATATTGGTGAGGGACCGGGCACAGGATTTAATATCAACGTTCCCCTAAATGTGGTACGTAGATCAACCGTGCTGAAGGTTGTAATGAGGGATTCTCCTCTCTGTTATTTCTTGTAAGGTTTTCAAAGGACTGATGCAATTAATAATTCTGACATTTTCAGATTGGTTGTGACAATAGTGTATATCTAGCCATCTTCTTCAACATTCTGCTGCCCATTGCCTATGAGGTTTGTGTTTACTCCATATTCTACCTGTAAAACTGTATTTTAATAAATATGTAAAGGGAATTTTTTTTCTCGCAGAATCACAGAAGTATTCTGAACAGTTTCTTTAAAGGTGTATTTCTCATAAATATAAAGAACGCAATCACAAAAAAAAATTTGCCACAAATTTTGAATTTGCCAAAATACAAAAATCTTTCAAATAACATATTCGTCATATTTTATTCAGTATCTCATAATAAAAGTTATCGTTCACCTTTTTCACTAAACGGAATAAAATCCTTTGCTTTATTTTAGTTCAATCCTCAGCTGGTGCTAGTGTCGGCTGGTTATGATGCAGCTCTGGGCTGTCCTGAGGTAAGATTTCGAAACAAGAAGGATTTAAACTGAGTTTTTAGATGTGAAACTGCAGACAAAAGTGTCTTGATTACCTGTGCAAAAGTCATTAAAATTAGGAATATTTGTTTTAGATAGATTTCATGCATGAAATTTATTTTTTATACGCCCGTCTTAAGACGGGACGTATTATGTTATAGGCTTCATGTCCGTCTGTCTGTCCGTCTGTCCGTCCGTCCGTCTGTTAGCTTTTCTCGTGTCCGGCTCATAACTTGAATACTATAAGGCCTAGAGTTATCAAACTTTGTCAGCTGATACATCTTGGGTAGAAGGTGTGTCGCGCACAAAAAGTAGGTCGCTCTGACCTATAATTAAAAAGTTATAGCCAAATATGGAAAAATCCTGTCCGGTCCATAACTAGAAAACTATTAGACTTAGAATCATCAAACTTGGCCACTTCATGCATCTTAGGTAGAGGGTGTGTCGCGACCTATTTCAAGGTCACTGTGACCTTTAATTTAAGTGAAATTTAAAAAAAAAATGTCTTGTTTTCTCTTCATTTACACACTCCAAAAAATGTAAAAGTATTGCACTATTCTTATTAGAAAAATGTTAAATCAAGAAAATACTTATTTTTTTAAGCATATACTTGACAGCAATCTATAACAAATGTAATGTATGTTAAAGAAATTCCACCACTCCCATGAGTTTAATTATCAAGCACTGGTCAAGAAGAATTTTGATAACAGAAAATTGCATGTCAAATTAGAGAAATTAATGAGTTTAGTGTGAGGAAGAGCATCGGTGCTATCTATATCCCTTGAGTATTGGGTCAAATGGGTAATCCTGTTGGATTAAAAATAGCTCTTGTTGGCTAGCAAAAGTTTTAAAATGAATTTGATGAGAAGTAAATAAAACTAATTTGATTTTGCATAATAAACTATTTTGATATTACATAATATTATGAACTTTAAAAAAATAATTTTATGGGGGTGGGGTGGAATCAGCATGTCCATATGAATTGCATATTAAAACCTGTCTGCCATTAAATCTAACAAAAAAATCATTGAGGTTTTATATGTTTTAAAAAGATAATCATTATAATCAAGATAATGGTAATTTTTTTACGGGCGTATCATGCTGTGGCGTGGCACTTTATTTTTATTCTATTACATTAGCTTGCCAAAGTAAAAATTAAGTATGTTCACACAGATAGTGGAATGGTCACAAAGTCAAAGAAACTGATTTATATAAATGACATTAATACTTCCTTGACCTTCATGTACAACCCTGTAGATGTTTTATATCTGTGTTTTACAGGGAGAGATGGAGGTGACCCCCAGCTGCTTCGCTCAGTACGTCAGTCTTCTGTCTCCTCTGGCCGACGGAAAACTCTGTCTGGTTCTGGAGGTATAGACGTTGCAAATTTTTTTTTTTTTTTTAATGTTAATGTGCTTATGATGAATATTGCAAGTTTTTTATTCATTGTAGTTTTGAAAGTTTTTATGAGCATCACTAATGTAATGAATGATGTAAATAATGGATTCAAAATCTCTGATCCTTGCATGCTTTCAGTTTGTTATCAGTATGTTTTACTGTACATAAGTACAGACCCTGAATTGTGCTACTTCCCCCTGGAATAGTTTGACTTCATATATGTATTTTAATGAATACACATCAATAAATCATGCAAAATTTAAGTTTATATGAATACCTGTTATACAGGCTTGTCTGTCAAGCATTTAATCTCAAAATTTCTTTTTCTCTGTTTTTGATTCTTTTCTGTGTAAAGGGTGGTTTGATGGCTGTTTTTATTTGTGATTAACAATAACATTACATAAATGATTGACTTAGTGACCTGTTGTAGGGAGGGTACTGCATAAAGACTCTGGCTGAGGGCGTGGCCTTGTCCCTGAAAGTATTGTTAGGTGACCCGTGTCCCAGAGTAGATCCCATTACACGGCCCAATAACAGGTAAGGAAGGCTTCTTATCATAAATATCAGAGCTTATAACATTTTCATGAAGATGGAATTTGTCTAATATAGTTTGTAAGAGTGTCATAGATTTATTAAATTTCAGCTTTAGAGGCATTTTACTACAATAGAACTTCATTATCTCTAAAAACCAATATCTCGGATACATGTATAATTGTATATGGCATATGTTATCTTGGCTTTGTTATCTTGAATCCTCAGATGTTGACATATAATATGTCCTGTCAAGTTTGAGATTACAAGCTTTGACTGTACACGCTTGTAGCTATAGTTGGAAACCATCATTCATACATGCTAAGTTTCATGAAACTATAACAGAATGTTGATAGTACGTGTAATATTAGTGGCTTTTGTACATTATATATTTACTTGGTCTAACGTTATTTTTCAGTGCGGTATCATCCATTCTAAATGTTATCAAGGTGTTACGGCCATATTGGAGATGTTTACAGTTACAAGGGGATCTATCATCTATTTCACATAACTCAAATACAGGGGTGCTGGACTGGCCCCCAAAGTAAGTGGTCACTAATAAGGAAAAAATAATGTACCTGTATTTAAATTGGAATTAGAGTACAAAAAACAAGTTGGTTTCAACATTGTACAGTGGGTCCCGTTTAAACGGATAGTCAGGTTGTCAGAATAGTTTTATCCGTATAGCCGAATATTGGAATAGCCGATTGCAATATTTGCCGTACAAACGGCAGATCTACAGTACATAAGTAACAATTTCAACATGGTTGTATTACGTACCTGTACTTTCGTTTTCGTTTGATGAATGTACCAAGTCAGGAAATGAATTATTTCAGGTTTTAATAACAAGTTCAATATAATTTTGTATGAATAATTTGTTTTTAATTGAAGTATGAAACTTATTTTCATCTTTATTTAGTACCAGGCACCTTTTTACATTCACCCCATTCGTTGATGGCCTCCATTTTGGAAAACGGAAGTTGATTGAATACATGACTATATTACATAAACCATTTTTTTCCGGATTGCTGATTAATAAATTTTAAAAAATGTTTATTGTTTCATCTTTATCTGTATTTGTATGTCATTTTCAAGCACATAATAGATATATATACGTATATTTATATGGGGTGCATGTGATTTTATCGCAAATCTCGCCTGAAAGTTTTACACTGCGGTTGAAATAGCGTTGCCTTGAGTGATGACACTGTTGGATTTGACAATTGAACAATTTGAATCACGGATTGCATTCTATAAAACAAGCGCTTTAATTGGTTGATATGGACCCGCCCACTCTCGTGCAGTATCCTTTGTATTGTAAGTTGGAAAGCGTCCAACGGCCTTGTGATGGTCGAAAACCGATGGTGACTTTTTGAACCAAAAAAAAAACAAAAACAAAGACTTACTATGAAATCACTTTATAGCATGTGATATATTCCTATCGCAGACTGTACATGTAAATTGTTTGATGACAAACACTAATTTCATTTTATATTACATGTAATTCTGCCGATTTTCTATTCACAGCATTTTCAATTTTCGGTGGTGCAAATTGAAAACGCGTTCGTGCGTAGAAAGCATATCCAGCTAATATCGGAGCACCCGTTGAAAAAATATAAATTCATGTGTGGTAAAACATCGGATTTAATTAAAAGTTTACTGTTTTGTTGTCACAAGTTTCAAAAATACCATGTTTCAAATGTGTGCATACCTATTTTAATTGTCGTCATGGCAATATTTAAACTTGCGATCTGGAATCTTAAAATTGCACTTAAAAGTGAACACATATCCAACTAAATGACCAAGCGCTACCATTTAATAGACAGTCTAATTCTGATAATTTAATTTAATACCCAAGCGAAGTGTCATACTCAAACTGAAAAGTTCAATAATTAAAATTTCACGCCGAACAAAATTGAACACAAGCCAATTATCAATGATCAAAATTAACACCCAAGCCGGTCATCACTATTGTTATCAAAACATATCGATCTACTGTGCCCACTGCTAACACAGGTAAGGTGCTGGCATGTGTGACTAATCCCCTCATTGTCGTAATTTGACTGGAAGTGTCAAACTTGTGTAAACAATGGATTTTCACACGGAAGGTAGAGGTGTGAACAAGACAATTATTATGAAAATCACTATGATAGGCGAAATTTTTGTATCAGATAAAACGAAAATCCGATATTTTCCTATCAGAATATCAGGTGAAATTATTAATAAATATATAAGAAATGGTTTTGTGCTCTGATATTGTATCAGATAAGCCGAAATATTCGTTTAACCGCTATCCGATTAAATGGAATCCACTGTATTATTTAACATAGGGATGGAGTGAACTTTTACACACACAACATGCCTGAGTCATTTTCACTTCATCAGGAATGCTGGAATCCAGGGGTTATGGAAAGTGCCCACATCATAGATGCCCAGGTGGATGAACTTTTGGCCCGCACTGTACACAGGACGACTAGACACAAGTAAAGTAGGACTTTGTGCTGTGGTAGACTGGTGTTGACTTTTGTATACAACTGTAGTTATATGATTGGAAATATTTAGAATCAATTTTGTATACCTCCTTAATTGAAGATTACTGGCATATACATGTAGTTTGTGTGTCTGCAGACACATATCACCTTAAATTTTTTCATCCAGTGTCTGAACTTAATTAAAAGCAATGTGTATCTCTCTATCAGCAACTACTGAGTCCGATAACTGACTGCAGCTTATTTCATGATTTTTAGATTGAGTACTGTAAAATCACAAATATTGTTATTTGTTAAATATGTTGGGATTTGATTTCGTGATTGGAGAAGTGTTGAGTAATAAAGATTTTATATTTTTTGTGGTCATGAATTCCTGGGTCTCTCCATTCTTCATACCTTGAAAACAATGAAAATTAGTGATTTCACAGTAGCATTGGTCACTGTGATATTTTAATTGCTGTCATTTTGTAGACTGATAAAATTTGCCTTCAAGATGCAAAGATGTGTTTTGCTTAGAGTAGTTTCTATACATTTCTGTACTTCTATACATATATTTGAGGTATGAATTCTGTTGCAGGGTCGGCATTGTATATGACGAAGCAATGTTAAATCATAGAGACCTAGGCTATGGGTAAGGGCAATAACTCATACATTACTTTATCTTTTCTTTTTCAACAAAGTTTTACAAATATTGAGACATACAAACAAATAATGAATAATTCAAACAAGTAAGTTATCTTAATTTTATTTATACATGATTTGATTTGAACATATTTTATTGATTATACTTTACAATTGGGATTGGGCAAAAGTTCTAAAAACTTATTACGCCCTCTCCCTACATATACATTATGCAAAACATATTTACATACATGGGTTTCAGCTTAAAATGAAATAACAATAATAATAATAATATAATAATATTATATAATAATCAGAGTAAAACACATTCAGTAGAATACATTTCATATGTAATAGACATGCTGTATAAGATTTGTATACATGTATTTAAACAAACTTAAGAAATAAAAGAAAAAAGTATGAATAAGTATTAGATGCATGTATCTACATATTACATACTTAAAAAAATAAATTTTCCAAAATATAAATTCATTGAGTACTCGGGAATCTAGAAGACTAGCTTGAGTATTGTAAAAGTTAACATTATTTATTCCTTAGGCTTACATATACGATAGATGAGAATCATTACCATTCTGTAATAGTGACTATACTCATAAATTCTCATGATAAAATGATGATCAATCCAATTCATTGCTTATCTACATGTAATTAAACAAAATCTGTTTCTAAAACAGAGGTTTTGAGGAGGGCCCAGATAGAGTGGAGAGGATTGTACAGACCTTGAAAAAGAACGGGGTCTGGGACAGGTGCTACCACATACAGGTAGGGAATGTTGACCTCCAGATTAACCATTAACTCTACAACATGTCAGTAATAACAATTATATAAAATTCATGTATAAGGCCACGTTTTATGGTTATTTTCATGATACCACTGATAATTCTTGCAAAGTACGAAGGTTATTCTGAAAGATGAAAAGGAAGTGAACCACTTTGTTGTAAATAAAATTTTCTGTACATTTTAGTTATGATAATAATATTTGACAAAGTACTTTTTCTATTATACATATGTAATAAAATTCCAGTACAGGTTATATATGAGGTCAACTTTGTTCTTCATTCCAGGGTCGAAAAGCTTCAGAAGAAGAAATTTGTCTTGGTCATGGGTAAGTATTTCACAATAATAAAGCTTAAAACATATATTGATATTAAAACAGTGTACAGATTTATATGATTGTGAAGAAGATATTAAGACTTTGAGTGATGCCAAATGGACATGTCAATGAGAAACTAATTAAAAAAAATTGCAGAATAGATCCATCATTTATCAGTATAGTGGAGCCTCATTTATCTGGACGCTTTGGTTGCCAGTAAATCTTTCCAGATATCTGAATTACCAGTTAAACAAGAATAAATAACATTAAAAAATTCTGTTCCAAGAAAAGTTGTCCGGATACTGAAGCATCCGGATATCTTGCGTCCGGATATCTGAGGGTCCACTGTATATTTTACATTGTGATGTTTATATTTTGTAGAGAGGATCATATTCGTCGATTCAAGAAAACCATGACAATGGGAGAAGAGGCATTAAAGGTCTACCAGGAGACCTTCAAGTCCATCTTCCTGTGTCAGGTGAGAGTTTTATCACAAACTTTACCATATACATGTATAGCAATATTGTTTACTCTACCTTGTTTACAGTTAAACAATGTGTCACCCTTTGTTTTCAGGAAAGTTTTACCTCAGCAGCCTGGGCAGTGGGCTGTTCCTTATCTGTGATAGACTCCATATTGACCAATCAGGTAAGACCTTACTAGATACTTCTTTATCTCTGATAGACTCTATATTGTCCAATCAGATTGGTCCTTAGATACTTTCTTATCTTTGATTTTTGATTAGCTTATTATTGTCCAATCAGCTAAGACCTTAGATACATTGCACTTCCTAATTTGTAATACACTCCATATTGTCGAATTTGGTATCATCTAAGATGCATTTCGTAGGTGTTGTTCCAATGGACTTCATATTTGAACAACTTGGATATATATTACTCTTAAACAGAAAGCCTTTCTTTCATGCCCATAGAATTTAAATTTTTAATTCATTGCCCAGTGCCCATTAAAGCTGAGTAACCAATATTTAGAGGGTTCATCTGACCCTTCTGATTATACCTGTATGTGTCTGTAATACACATAGCAACAATTAGACAATAAAAGTTATTTTTTGAATGGTTGTATAAAGTGTTTAAAAAGAGCATTTTGAACATCTGTATATAGCCATTCCTTTTTTATCTTTTAAAGAAATGGTTTTAAAATTGTACCTTTATGTTTTAAATGTATTTATTATTTCTTAAACATGTATTTTATGTATTTACAGTGTCAGAGTGGTGTTGCTATAGTAAGGTGAGGCATGGGAATAATGTTATTGTTTTAAAACAAACAAACACTTAATAAAGCTGCACATAGCTCTCATTATGAGCTATCTTGACATTTAAATGTTGATTGAAAACAGTCTGATTCACTATAATTTTTTTTAAATTGATTTTAGAATAAAACATACTTGTCAAACTTTATAAATTTTGATGGAATGTCTTAGAGATTAAACTGAGATATAAACTTTTGTGAAAGGTTGTATTGTCTTTTTGTTACATGACTGTATTTCTTAAATTCCATCTAGGCCTCCTGGTCACCATGCAGAGAGAAACACAATGATGGGCTTCTGTCTGTTCAACAACGTAGGGATAGCTGCTAAATACGCCCAACAAAAGTACAATGTACAAAGGTAACAGCTGCTAAATATACCCAACAAATATTCAATGTAAATAGGTAAAACATACAATGTAGGAATAGCTGCCAAGTATGCCCAACAAAAATACAAGGTACAAAGATAAAAACTACAGCAAAACAATGTAGGAAGAGCAGCTAAATATGCCCAACACAAATACAATGTAAAAAAGTAAAACAATCTTAAAAAACTGTCTTTTCTGTACATTTTATTTTGTATTTTATTTGACTTGTCTGTAGACAATACACCTATATTTTAGGGTCCTGATTGTGGACTGGGATATCCATCATGGAAACGCAATTCAGAACCTCTTTGAAAATGATCCAAGGTCAGTCATACTGAAAATTTTGGAACAAAATTCTGTTGTTTAGAAACAAATTGCTACATAGACAATTTCTGGTTTTTTGAAGTCAGGCATTTTTAAGCTCATAATATTAATATATTTTGCAATGCTTGTAATATTCTTTTATTGCAGTGTACTATTTATTTCACTACATCGATTTGACAATGGATCGTATTACCCTTACGGAGGTAAGGGTTACCACAAACAGACAGGGGGTCCGCAGGCCCAGGGACACACAGTCAACATAGCCTGGAACGATGTAAGTGTCCAGGTTCTATACTGACCCGTCATAGTACATTTAACAAATGATGATGTAAAACTCTCTGAAATCAAGTTCAGAAAGATAATCGTGCATTTTAAAATACATGTACATGTATATTATTATGCAGTAGGTCAACAAAAAGTAATTTTCGTTAGAAGTTAGGAAAAAAATATTTCAATAAGCTGATGTAGATGTACCTGATAATGTTTTTGATAACTCTTTATCAGGGATCTAAAGGAGATGCAGATTACATTGCAGCCTTCCACCATCTGGTGCTGCCCCTAGCTTATGAGGTTAGTCATCCGCTGGTGTAACGTAATGTCACTTTTATGGTTACACACATTTTCCCATGATTACTGGGCAGATAGGGCATTTAGAGTAGCTCTGAAAGAGAATTCATCCTTAGGATGATCTGTGTGTGTCCTTCTGAATCTGATCAGTGTGTCCTTTTCTTGTTTCAGTTTGCCCCAGACTTGGTGTTGGTGGCAGCAGGCTTTGATGCTGAGAAGTCAGACCCTTTGGTGAGAGACTAATGGCCACTGAATATGCATCCTTTACTTTAGATTGTTCCAAAGACAATCAGAAGTAGAATACTAAGAATGTTTTTTGATTCCTATGCATTTTTAAGGTGTAAAACAAAATACACTGTATATAAAACTTATGCTCTGATGCAACATGTTTAAAAATATCAATCTATGTTTTAGGTTGATTTTGAATTATTAATTATATTTTCTATTTTAAGGGTGGTTACCGACTGTCTCCAGCCGTCTTTGGTCACATGACCAGGATGTTGATGGGATTGGCAGATGGGAAGATTGCTCTTATTTTAGAGGTGGGTATCAAATGTGTCTACTTTTCGTGCTTTGATTTGTATATATATTGGACAAAAAGATTTACATTTTCTACCAATAACAGGCATGTATGAAGAGTTAACAAGCTGATGAATTCCCATGCTGTATATCCAACTGCTATGCAAATATTTTATTTGCAAATCACAATCAGTGAAAAAATCTTCCATAACAAGTAATTGAAAAGTTTTCCCCCCCATAAATTTAAAGTCTTTTACTTTTGTTGTATATTCATGTAAGTATTTTAAAAACTCTACATATTGACAGGGAGGTTACAGTTTGGAGGGAACTTCTCAGGCTATGAGTCTGTGTATAGCCTCGTTACTAGGAGACTCCTTACCAAACATTCACAATGCAGTGCCCAGTAAAAGGTAACTTTCAAGGCTATGAAAACATGGGTTAAAGAAAGAAAAACCAGAAAGTGATTTCTTTCAACAAATTAATGATAACAGCTATTTTCAGTGTCACAGAATGAATTAAAATGATACGCAAAAATAGAAGAGCTATTCTTATATCAAAATGCATTTTTGTAGTACATTTTTAAAATTTCTAAACATTTAGATCGTTACTTTATCTTTTACAGTGGTGTAGAAGCTATTCGTAAAACAATGGAGGTTCAAGAAGAATTCTGGAAGACAATTTTATACAGAGGTATGAATAGTCTAGGATGAATTACAAATTGCCTCCCCGAGTAAAACCTGCTATTCTGAAGTCTTAAACAAAAGAAAATATCACCCAGCTCGCAACCAACCTCTCCTCTCAATTTTAACAAACAAGCAATTGATATTCCAAATAAAAGCAAAGTACATGTACATGTATATTGAGATCATAAAATCTAATGTAAAGGTTAACCTGTACTGTGTTAATAATGGTCAAACATAAAAACCTGCAGTATCTTTAAAAATCACACCATCTCTCTAATAATGATCTTGCATCTTCACATATGAAAAAATACAAACACAAATCACTACAAGTCATGCATAACTCAATTTAAAACAGTAGGATCCATTCATTTTCAATATTTTATTATTTAAATCATCTGGATGACATTGGAAATTAATTCAACTCAGATGAAGTTTTTAAGCTATTGCATGTCGGAGTGTTTACTGTGTATAAAGTCAATTCCTGTGTATATATCAGTCTTCAAAGCAATAACACCCATAAATAATTAAGCCCTACTTTGATCATGAAAATCTCTGTCTTAAATTCATGCATTTGAGTAAAATCAAGAAAGAAATTTCATTTTTGGTGATGAAATTTTTTATTTCAGTTGATCTTCCAACTCAGCAGCAGCTAGAAGTGATCAAAACTGAGAAAGAAAAGAAGAAAATCAGCACATAACACTAGGGGGAGGGAATAGGAGAGAACAAAAATCTTACCTTCATTATCAACAGTTATGTTATTGTCTTTTTATCTTTGCATCGCCTTAATGTTATACTGACAGGGGACTGTACAGTTTGAGATCTTTGTGTGTTATAAAGAATGTACTGCAGGTTGAAAAAATTATGAGATTGGATTTTTATTTATACTTGCATTTTGTGAAACATTCTTGCCATTCATGGATGGACATTATCAATGTATTTAATCATTAGTTTTCTTTATCTAAGAGTAATATCAATGAAACATCAGATGAACTGTAGGTAGCATAATGACAGTTATGCTGTATTATCTGACACTAAAAAGTCAGGTTACGAATCAGTTATAAAATAGGGGGAAGTTTACAAAATGATTTTATTACTTGCCTGTAAAGCATGTTTTACATTGTTGAAAAGAGAATTATCTTTCTGGTTTTTTTTTTGTCATCTGGAAATCTTTAAACAAAATTTGATTGCAAAATTGAATCAATGGAAGTTGTACACATGTACTTTTAGAACTTTCAGTAAAACATGCCTTGGATATAATTAATCGCCAGGGAGATTTAGTGTCAGATTTGGTTTTTCACTGTATGTGAATTTGCTCAATATGTTGACTCTAAGATACTGTAGGTGTACTTTTTTCCGTGGGGTCATAATTCCACGGAATCTCAATTTCTATTTAAAGTACCTGGATTTCTTAGACTGTCATTATATGCCTTACATTTTCATTAAGTACACTAGGAGAAATGTCCGTGGAAAATTTGTGACCATAGTGTAAATTAATACCACGCAGAAAAAAGTACTTCTACAGTAGTTCTACTGTACACTTTATTATTTTCATGAAATTTTTAAAATTAATAAGAATATAAAAAAAAATAACTTAGAAGTGAAATCAGTTTAGTACATTCTGATATTGACTGGTTCAGTTCAACGATAAGTTTATTTATCTATACTCTGTAATATTTACCTGTGCTTTTTATTTTTTGACATGACGTGTATGCAATTCTCAAGTATTCCATTTATCACCAAGCTTCTACCTCTTGTTTTATAAATTATGCAAATTATTTATTCTGTCATAAATATTTTTTAAACTATTATGTAAATTGTGAGTTTTTGGTAATATAAAAGATTACTGTATTTCATTTCAATGGCATGCAGAAACACCCTATATCATTCTACATTTTAGTACATGTATTTCTAATTTTTTTCATTCAAAAATATTTTTGTGCCACTGATTAAGATTCAAGGGTAGATAGTTTTTGATCTATCTGTCAATTTATCCCCCTTTAACCTATGAACTGTTGATTTCTGGCCTTTCATATTCACAATTGTTTTCATTGTAACAAGAACTTTGGTGAAATCTTTTTTTTTTTTACCTTGACCTTGGAGTTAAGTCTTGACTTCTGGTTGGGGGGGGGGGGGGGTGACACAACTTTTGAGCACCAGTATTTTGCCCTTATGACCTGTGGATTTGAGCTACATAAAACCTTGTCCAAAGTTATTTAAGTGTTGGTGCTACTATGTTTCATTATCAGACGGCCTTTCTTTGAGTACCCTCATTAAAAAGCTCATGGCCTTGACCTGCAGTTTCAGTTACTTTTGAAAAAATACTTCAACCTTTATCATAATTAGCTCTTCTGAGCCAAAGGCTCAAAGAGCTAATGCTATGGCCATTTGTGCGGTGTGCGGTGTGCGTCGTGCGGTGTGCGTTAACTTTTTAGAATATGGGCCATAACTCAAGAACCCCTTGGCCAATCAGTGTCAAATTTGTCACAGGGTATCCTTGGCCCAAGGGCTACCATTTATACTAAAATAAGGGTTGGGACCCTGAATCAAGGGGAGATAATCAGGAAAACAAACAAAAAGCACTGGTTGCTAAAAAATCTTCTTCTCCAGAACCACCAGGCAGATTTTCACCAAACTTACATACAAGGATCAGGATATGTTGAAGATTAAAAATTGTTCAAGGCATGACCCTGGGGCAAAGGGCCTGGTCTCAAGGTCACTTTAAAGTTGACCTAAATTTACAATTAATAAAAATGTTCATATTTTGCTTACTATAAGGACTAGGATCATCAAATCTTGTAAGTTGATGCATCTTAGGACTTCACATCATGTTAACTCAAAAGTAGGTCACGGTGACCTACTTTTTAAATTTTTCGGGCATTTGTTTTCAAATTGATTTAAAGGCATATTTTGGATACTTTAAGGCCTGTGATCATCAAACTTTGTCAGTTGATGCATCTTGAGTCCTTGAACAACGTCAACTTAAAAGTAGGTCACCGTGACCTACTTTTTGAACTTTATGACTTATCCTTTTCAAAACATTTAATCCCATTATTTCAGGCACTGAAAGGGTTAGAATCATCAAATCTTGGTAAGTTGCTGCATCATGGGGCCTTAAAACATATTTAAGAAAAAGTAGGTCACTGTGACCTACTTTTAGAATTTTGCAGGCATTTGTTTTCAAATTGTTTAAAAGGCATGTTTTGATTAACTTTAAACCTATGATCATGAAACTTGGTCAGGAGATGCATCTTGGGAATCTGAAAAATGTCGACCAAAATGTAGGTCACGGTGACCTACTTTCGACATTTTATGGAGAGCCGCTATATTTAAGTATCTTAGGTATTTATTGGCTTAGAATCATCAAACTTTGTGAGTTGATGCATCTTCGGTTTTCGGATAGTGACGACCAAAAATTAGGTCACAGTGACCTACTTTCGACATGTTATGGCTATATTTAAGTATCTCTGGCACTTATTGGCTTAGAATCATCAAACTTTGTCAGTTGATGATCTTGGGTTTTCAGAGAATGTCGACCAAAAAGTAGGTCACAGTGACCTACTTTTGACATTTTATGGCTATATTTAAGTATCTCTAGTACTTATTGGTTTAGAATCATCATACTTTGTCAGTTGATGCATCTTTGGTTTTCGGAGAATTTCGACCAAAAAGTAGGTCATGGTGACCTACTTTTGAATTTCTCAGGTATTTATTGGCTTAGAATTAGCAAACTTGGTCAGCAGATGCATCTTTGGACTCTTAAAAATGTTAACCAAAATGTAGGTCACGATGACCTACTTTCGACATTTTATGGCTATATTTAAGTATTCTCCGGTACTTATTGGCTTAGAATCATCAAACTTTGTCAGTTGATGCATCTTGGGTTTTCGGAGAATGTCGACCAAAAAGTAGGTCACAATGACCTACTTTTTGACATTTTATGGCTATATTTATGTATCTCTAGTACTTATCGATTTAGAATCATCATACTTTGTCAGTTGATGCATCATGGATTTCGGAGAATGTCGACCTAAAAGTAGGTCATGGTGACCTACTTTTGAATATCTCAGGTATTTTTTGGCTTAAAATTATCAAACTTGGTCAGCAGATACATCTTGGGACTCTAAAAAATGTTAACCAAAATGTAGGTCACAATGACCTACTTTCGACATTTTATGGCTATATTTAAGTATCTCTGGTACTTATTAGTTAAGAATCATCATACTTGGTCAGTTGATGCATCTTGGGTTTTCTGAGAATGTTGACCAAAGAGTAGGTCACAGTGACCTACTTTTGAATATCTCAGGTATTTATTGGCTTAGAATTATCAAACTTTGTCACTTGATGCATTTTGTGATTTCCAAGAATGTAGACCAAAAAGGAGTTCTAATTGGCTAAGAATCATCAAACTTTGTCAGGTGATGCAACTTGGGTCTTTAATAGGATACTTAGGGTTAGAGGCTTCAAATACAAGTGATAGGTTGTACAATTTATCAGAAGAGCGATTCAAGGCCCTTGGGCCTCTTGTTATTTTAGAGGTCAAAATCTCTTTTTACAATGGAAAAGAAGGGATGTTTCTTAAACCTATTGAAAGTGGATGGTTTCTTTGTATCGAATCAATCTTTCCAATATTTATACTTATTGTTTTTGTTGCCAATTTGCTGTTGTAGTTTCAAAATTTTCATTACCGGTATTACAAAATTTAATTTCGACAATAGACAGTATTGTGCAGGTATTGATGTTTAGTGTTGTGTCAGTTTAAGATCTTGATAATTACCCATTCTTTTATTACTGCTGAAGTGTAGACATTTAAATGGTATATATGTATGTTCAACCATTATCCTGAGTAGAATCTACCTTATATAACAATAGGCACAGTACTGTTCTTATAAACAAACTCTTACTCGTTTTATTTAAATTGTTCATTAGGCCATCCTTAGAAAATTGTTTGGATGCCCACTCTTGACTGACTAGCTAAGAATTGTCTCACTCAAAAACTTTTTTTTACTCCCCAGGCATCTTCTCAAGCCACTGTCTGGAGTCTGCTTATAGCTCTCTCCTACCCGTGGCTGCTTGATCACTAAAAGTGTTGTAATCTTGACTATTTTAATACGCCTCTCTATTGTGACGTCACATTCAGTCAATGACAAGTTTTGTTTCAATTGCAATTGAAATCATAATCAATTTACATAAGTACATGTAGTATTTTGTACACTGTGATTGGGTATTCAAAGGTTGCACCAAAGTTCATTATCCGACTATGCCTTACTCGCATTCAGGTCAATATTTTAATGAGCTACGAAATACCCTAAAATCTTGAAAATAAGACGGATTTCATAATAAGCCGGTTTTGAAAATAAGCCACCTATTTCTTGCATTAAAATTTACTCGAAAATAAGCCAGTTTTGAAAATAAGCCGGTCATGACAATTCCATCTAGGACAGACGTTAAACGTTTGACGATTTCCGCGTCTTAAAAATTTGTAATATTACTAAATTAATTCTTGTTAATAAAGTTAATTTTTTAACCATTAATCATATTACACTTGCTAAAAAGAACTTATTGCGAAACCAGCTAAAATGGTGAATTTTTTTTCATGAAATTGTCAGAACAATAATTATCTCATCTAGACTTGTACAAGCTAACGATGTGTTAAAAGGTGGTAATTAAATAAGTAAATAGATAAAGGAAGTTTTGTTTGTAAAGCATTTAACTGCCAGGTAATACTGCCCAATGCAAGATCGAAACCTGCTGATCGGAAGGGCTTGGTAGTAATTACATTTCAATGTACCGCAACTGAGTTGTATAAATATGTGTTTGTTTGATTAATTTATCAAGTACATTCATATAATTCAATTGAAGCGGATATCTTATATATTATTTTTACTTTTTTAAAAACAAGTTTATGTTTCATGTAAATTCATATGCTGTATACAATGAAATAAACTTTTCGGTATCGGCATTCTCAGAAAATAAAGAAGACGATCCTAAAGAACGTACACCAAAAAACGCCAATGATTACAAGTGCTCTCTTCTCTTACCAGTATTTTGCATTGATAATAAGCCGCAATTTGAAAATAAGCCGGTCTTGAAAATAAGCCCCCACTTTCTTACCAAAACTTAAAATAAGCCGCGGCTTATTTTCAAGATTTTAGGGTATTCTGACTATTCTCTTCTCATGCAACCACGGCCAGAGTAGAGGATCGTACAGTTTGGTCGTGGTTTGGGACGATGCCCCCCAGGAATCAATATTTATTTAATGAGGACTGTGTACTCTGGAAAATATGATTTTAAAAAATGTGTTGAAATTTTCAAGGAAATTTTTTTTATCACCTACCT